ACCACAAAAAAATCGGAATCATAATTTAGATATCAATGAAAAAATTTGAAAATGTAATATCAAGGGCAAGAATAAAAAAAATTATAAATAGATAAAGCAATTTAGAGCCAAATTAATCGATCATAAAAATTAAAAATAACAAAAAAATTTGGGGGAAAAAATACAATAATAGGTATTGTTTTTAAGATTTCGAAGATCATTTAACCACCCCTTCCTGAAGTACAAAGGACAATTTTTTGATTCCGATACCAATAATTCTTGGTACTTATCAATAACAACATTTATCTTTGAAGGAATTCGAAGATATGAATTAAATTTTAAAATGGCGTGGTAATGCACAAATTTTCAGTAACCAATCAGGGAGCTGATTACAGCTCGTAAATGCACAAATATTCTATAACCAATCAGAGAGCTGATTACATGGCGCCTAGAATTAAAATTATTTAAACAATCATACATAATAAAATCATTTTTCAAAAAAAAATGCAAAATTAAATTGTATTTTAATATTTAACAGCCATAAATAATGTTTAAATATTAGATTAAATTTATAGATATTAAAACTAATTACTTTTAAAGTTAGGTGACGTTATTGATTACACAACAACATAAAATATCATAAACAATAAAATTTTTATTTCAAATAAAAATGCAAAATTCAATTGATTTTTAATATTTAGAAGCCATAAATAATATTTAAAACACGGAATTTATGCATAATAAAGCCCATTATTTAAAAAAAAATGACGACAAAGTATTGGTTACCCTAAATAATTTATCCAGCAATGGGTTTACCATAAGTCGTATTACTCGCCAAAAAATCGCAAAATCCGTGCAACCGTCTACCAAAGTAGCACCGAGGGTAGGAGTAATTACTGTTGGAGGGTCGCATGTTGCCTAAATTGATCATTTTTTGTATTTCATTCTTACCAATTTTTAATCTATCTAGTACTAATCTCCTAACCTTACATGAAACAGGAGGACCAATAGTTTCAATAAAATGCATAGTATTATGCTTAACAGTCTCATTGAGATCAGGAAGCTTTGACAGTGAAAGATAGTTAGACAGTAATTTATCACATACACTATTTGCAACAATTGCTTTAATAGAATACAAATGCGTGTTAATTACACTGAAATTAATTTTTAAATGAGTTTTTAAATCAACAGGATTTTTGTTCCTTAAATCAGGTAATGAATCGAAATAATGCAAAAAATCAGATCTTATAATGTTCGATGACACTTTACACACATATAAAGCAAAATTAAAACTCCGACGAAGACCAAGGTCAAGATTTAACGTTTTTTGCCCGTACACCGGAATAGGAGTGCTATTGGCAGCAGAAAACGTCTTAATAGGTGTCTGAAGTGCTTTATCTTTGGTAGATGAGAAGAGACTGACATCTGAGACAGTGCCGCACAAAAATATTCTTTTTGACTTCTATTTGTCTCTAATAAAAAGGTGATGAGACTCAAAGGGTAAAGCGCAAGTTGCCATTGCACTTTCTCCGGTTAGTTTCCCGGTGGAACACACGTTTTGGCTTCCTCATTAAATTTGTGATGATACCAGCAATAGGAAAAATTTGAAGCAGCTTTAACTGAAGGGCTTCGCTCTCTGTTATAGCGGTTTTCGGAAGCACTGCATGATTGCCGTAGAGACAATACCTCACCACGCAATTTGCAGACCTCATCCAGTAGGGAATCCAATTTAGAATTATTAGATACATTTTCAGATACAGGTGAAGAAACTGCGCTTACCCGAGCGGGTGTAACTTCCAATATTTGATCGGCAATGCCGGCAGCTTTGCTTTCGAAGAATCTAGCTGTTCAACCGACAGATTGAACATTTGGCGGTATTTGATGAACTATAGTAACAATGAGTCGGATATATCGTGTTTTTCAGCACGCCTTTTCATGATAAAAAGCAATTCGGATGGTTTCCTGTCTCCAAGCTGCTCTTCAGCCAGTAATTGTCGAATTTCATTCGTGCTGCTTCCCCCACATCGACCAGTAATGGCAGCTTTCAGGTCATCGTAAGAACAGTCTGTCCGTTCCCGAAGTGTGATATCTCGAACCACAGAGGCAATCTCCGGCAGCAAATGAGCGACACAATAGTTAAATTTCGTCTTAGGCTCTATAACAGGCTTGAGTGCTGCTAAAGCAAAAGATAATTCGCACATGGCAGACCACAATGCTGGGTCAATAGGATAGTAAATCGGTATCTCTACAGAGCTGCTGTTTCTTCCATGTTAGTGGCTGTAGTGATGAAAAGGAAAATCTTGAAACAACCAAGGCCTAAACGAACAACCAATATGAAAATTCATGGTCGCCATTTTAAGGTCTGAGAATATGGCTCGGTGAATAATCGTAAAAGACAGGACTCCATTTCGCTAAGACACAACTTTATTAACACAAGTACTCATTAACACAACTATACGTTAACACAACTGTTCATTAAAACAGAAAAACTTCTACACAAATATTTGAACATCCTTGCACTCGAGCCAGTCATAGGCAGTGTGAGTGAGTTCACTGGTCACGCTGGCAGTTATTACAAACACATCATGACGCCATCCGGCGGTGCGCGCAGCCTAACATGACTGCCACAAAATTAGTACTGAAAAAGATTAAAATATTTATAAAAAAAAAAAAAAAAAAAAAAAAAAAAAAAAAAAAAAAAAAAATGGAAATAGATATTAATAATAAAGAATACGTTTTGTAAGATTCTATTTTTAATTCATACAAATATTCTTCATCAATCACACCTTTATAATTGAATACGTAATTTCCTAGATTAATTTTCTTGATTGCATTGTCAAACAAACTTCCATGACATTTTTTAAGATAACACACTTTTCCTTCCCGATCTACTTGTACTTTTGCAATACATGTATCGCCATATTTAGTTTCAAATTTTTCTCAATGAGATCAGATTATATCTTCGAGTATCTAGTCTTCTAGTTCAATTTTACAGTTTTAGGTTAATATCTAAGACTACTGAATTCATCCATTTATTTGGTTAAAATTTTTTAAAGGCCTGTTTATTTAGGAAATTTCCTGAATATGTTTCTTAGTAAACATTTCTATTAAGATTTGCACATATGGGAGATAACAGTATAATACAAATTCTCTCATAATGTCTTTTAATGAAAGTTTCTGACATTTGTTTGTGCAAATTTGGATTACACCAGTCTACTTTCCCTTCATGTTTATTTAAAAAGTCTTCGCTGAAATCTTGATGTTTAATTTCATCTCAATGTATTACATCTTTCAATACTTCACCAGTATTTCCTGTTAGTTTTTGATATCTGAAAACTACTAATTTCATACATAATTTTGTATAATTTAGTAATATAAAATTATTATTTAAAGTTTGATGTTTTCAAACTGTATTCCAATTAATTTTATTTTTGTTATCTAAAATGAATTTTTCAGATAGTACATAATACCTGCCATAATAATATCTCAATTAATAAGATTTTCGTGCATACTCATAAATGGTTCATATAACTTCTAATAAGCTGAAATATTAGCCAAAAAGCACTATCTTTATATTCATTGATGACAAGTTCAGATAATTTTTTATATCTAGAAATCAAATCACAGTGCACAGCATTTCCAAAATTTCTAATTAAATCTTCAGTTACTGTTTCGAGAAATCTCACCCCAATTAATATCCTTTAATTTAGGACTATAAATTAGGCTTCCAATCTAATATTTCAGTTTTCAAATAAGGATGAATAGTAATGTCTTTCTTTGCTCGAACTTTTAACGCATAACCTTCCTTAACTTGTGTAAAAATTATTTATCTTTATAAGTAACTGAACTAAAAAAAAACCATTTTTTTTTCCGTCAATTTCAATACGAGCTTCCAAAATTCTGATTCTTTTTCAGCTATTTTATCTACTAAAAATAATATGACGCTAACATTCTCTTCTATTAAAAATTTAGAATCTTTATCCAGTGTTATGTATTTTGTAAATTTCAAAAGCTTAATATTAATTCATTCTTTATTACGTTGAAGAGTAATAAAACTAAACTAATTAGTGGCATATAAAAGAGTTTTAATTGAATCATAAGCAAATTTTCTGATTGCAGCATCTTGGTCTTCGACTGGATTTCCAACATTTTCTATTTTTTTCCTTTTGTATCTGTAACATTTAATATGTAAATATTTATCTTCTAATTTATTTTTTAATTATGATATGTTTTTTTCATTTATTTGATTATCATCAGATTTTTTTTGTTTATCGCTGTAATATGTCTTGCATTTTCTTCAGTAAAATTTAACAAACTGATATCTGATTGCTTAATTTTTTTCTATTTAATATTTTTCAGTTCAAACTAATTACGTTCTCAGCATCCTGATTATCAACCGGATTTAAATAATTTATAAAAATTTTATTCTCCATATCATAATTTCCGTCATACGTTCCCAGTTTGCATTTACGTTGCCAGTTTCTATGTGAGATTCTATACAAATTCTTTCATAATGTTTTTTAATGAAAGTTTCTGACACTTGTTTGTATAAATTTGGATTACATCATCTGTTCATGTGTATTTAAAAAGTCTTCGCTGAAATCATGTTGTTTAATTTCATTCTAATGTATTACCTCTTTCAGTACTATACCTACTATACTATAGGTCCTTCTTTCATTTCTTCATCTTCAAACGGTGGATAATATGTTATTATAAAGATAATTTTAGGAATCCCGAAAGAAATCCCTAAAGTAGAAATACACTTCCTGTCAGCCTTATTTTGAAATTTTTCAAAAAATTGTTCTGATAACTTTTGATTTCCAGAAATACATTCCGAATCAATATTATCCAGAAATTTTTCTAATAGTTCCATAATTTTATCTGCCATTTATTTAGTAAAAAAACATTTAGTATCCAAAAGGCACAGTATCATAATTACCTAAAATTCTTCTTTTATCAAAACTCAATGTATCAGTTTTAGCCATTTATCCAGATCTTTCACGCATCGAGAACATCGGGTCATGGGTTATCGAGAGATTGGTATGCCACCACTCACCAACTGGTACGATTGATGAACTATTGCATAGATATGAAGCCGCATGAAATGTAGTACCCATATCTGTTATCCAAGCTCAGTTTGACTCGACGGCTAACTTGGTTACAGCCATTATTGCTGTCAGTTGTAACAGCTCCGTATCTGAATTCTGCACGCTGTGTACTCCACACTGTATGTGCTTTTTTCCAAATCTATTTAGAATGGATCTATTTATATAATAACATAGCATGATAAAAGTAAATGTGGGTTTGATTGTCATTTTATGCTCCAAATACTTTAAAAATAATGCGACATTTACCAAATGAATTTTGATCGAAAGCAGACCTCCTCCAGGCATACCAAAATGACTCAAATCCGGTACAATCACTGGATCTCAGAAACAAAGAATTTTCACAGACATTTCTGCTTTTTAGAAATAAAAAAGCAATCTCTAAGCATGAATTCATTGTTCCAGTGATTGACCGATATAATGCTGATATCCCTGTGCAACATTGATATGCAGAATTAGCTTTAAAGCGCAGTAGCTACAGTAGGTGCTTATGAGTTTTTTTAACTGAGTATGGAATGTATAGTGATGAAATGTATATACTGTAGCCTGTCAGTATACTATATACGCCGCTATCAGTAGAACTACTCTATACTGTAGGCTGTCAGCAGGAAAACCCAGGTACGTGTAACTGTACTGTAGATTAATGAATGTTTGTACTCTTCCCATATGAGTGCTAATATTTGACAGTATATAATTTTAGCACGTTATTTTATATGAAGTGAGTTTAGCTATTGCTTTTATTCCAGTAAAATATTTCATAAAAGAGGCTATATTAGAAGATTTGTGTGTGTCTAATGGCATTTCTTCAGGTATGCTGAGAACTGAATATATGAAGTTTATATTCTGGACCCAATGCAGGTGCAATAAGCAAAATACTCGTACATCCCTTTTTCTTGCGTCCCGTTGGCCACCAGTGGCCCCTGAATACTGATTGTCTGACCCGTTTTGAATGGGCTGGTTGCATGGTTTGATTTCATAGTTTTCCTCATGGGTAACGTGAATTCAAGGCAGTTTCCTTCAAGTCCTCTGCGAAAGCATCCCTGCTGTTAGGTAGATAGCCCTCATGTGCTTTGCCGTATTCAAAAACCTGATCTAACCTAACTCTCTCCCTCTCAGTAAGCTCCGCTGATAGAATCATAAAGCTACCCTATCTACCAATAAGTATAAGACCAATAGACACTTGTGATAGAAAAGAAGAACAAAATTGATTCATATTCAATTGTTGGTCTCCACGAGGGGCAATTGCAGCCTCAACCCTCCGCAAGTTTTCGAATGAAGGCTATTGGTATTTTCTTCTACTTGACTTGGAGAAGACATTGTAAGTTCCTTCACCGATACTGGATGGTTCACCGATATTTGGATGGATAGACGATTGTACCCCTTAATTCGGCAATCCAACTCATCCCAGACGGTTCTTGATAGGGTTTAGGTCTAGACTCTGGGCAGGCCAACCCATTCACCATATTTATCTACAGCGGACCTCTCAACATAACAGTTGGCTATGCCGCCCTGAAAGTAACGTGGATCCAACCCGTAAAACTGTCACAACTTAGAAAGCACACTGTCATCCAAAATAGTGCAGCACGCGTCGGCGTTCAGTTTACCATGAATTTGGACCAAACTTTCAGTCCATACAAGAAAAATACATCAAGATGATAATTACAGTTCCTGTGAGCACAATGAATTCTGGCAGGAGGTGGTCTCCGGGCAGACGTTAGAACCATACCCTGCCATCCGAACGGTAGAGAATGAGCCTTGATTCGTTGCTTCAGAGTGCCCGTTTTCACTGATCAACAGTTCACTGTCGATGTGCTTTGCAACAAATTATCCTATCAGCGTTGCTAGACTTAATGATCAAAGTCTTACGGGCGTCAGCAAGGCAATGAAAACCAAGCAGATATGCTTTCCTACGGATGGTACTCATAGAAACAACACTCTCGGTTGCCTGTTGAAACTCTTGAAGTACGTGGGCCATCGATTGTGTGCAGTTCTTCTGAATTTCTCTGAACATCAGCCGTCGGTCTGTGCCTCTCAGTTTCGAGAGTCTGCCGACTCGGCGCACATTCCGACAATCACCGCTTACCGTCCGTTTCTGAACCACATAGGCCACTGTCGAATTTGGGAAATTAAGCTCGCTAATTATGCCCCTTAAGAATCCGCCATTTTTGTGATACCCGACGATTACACATTTCTCGAAATCAGATAACTCGTCAAATCCTGGCATCTTGCACGCGACTAATGCCAATGTTGGACATTTAATGGAGGAGGGCGTGACGTATATCAGGACTACAGATATGTGCCTTTGCACGGGTGTCCAAATACTTATTGGCAGATAGTGTACAAGAGGAAAATCGTTATGCGAATTGACCACTTTGATATCTATGTTTCTTAATGAATATATATTGAAGACTACAGAGAAACCTGTTTTCGAATGTCCAGTTGATAGTTGTCCTTTAAATAGAAACTTTAAATAGAATATTGATTTGTCAGTCCCTAACTGTTTGAAATGACAATAAATACACAGTTGTTGGTCTCTATTTTCTAAAAGTGTGACCACGCTTAGTAGCGAAACGTTTTGCCTGTTACATTGTCACATACAGATTTTAGGTAATTTACCCTCTGAACTAAGTTATCAATATAAATGATTGTTTACAAAACATATTACGCCATTTTAAAGCTCATAAAGCATTAACATTTTTCAAATAATTTCAATAAAATAATTTCTTGTAATTTTTTGTTTACGTTGATTCATCTGTGAAAATCAATATGAATTAGAAACTTTATTTCATTTCGCTTCTGTTTTTAAATTTATAGCTTTGCATTTAATAAAATAGTCAATTTATGTCATGACATAATTGAGAACGAGCGGTTGAATTGGATAGGATTATTTAAATTATTATTTTAAAGTCTTTCTACCCAAGAAGAGCTTAACAAACGAAAGAAAAATAACTTGAGGATTCTAAAACTTGCGCAGATAAACAGCTTCGATGAATAATTTTGAAAATAATTTGATTGAAATAGTTATTTATCGCAGTTTTCACATTTATCCCAGTCAGTATAAATTTTCCTAAGCGGATAAAAAGACAGGATGTTGAGGAGAGGAAACGTACAAGTGGAGCACCGGACATTGCAGAAATAGAGCTGCAGTTCTTAGAAAAATGCCTGATATACCAATCAGAAAATATGGATCAGCCCGAAGGTACGTACTTCATCACAAATTGTCTCTTCATTACAAATCCAAAAGTTATATGATATTTATAATTGAAAATTTCTGTATAAATAATACATTTTAAGTACTATGCAATTCCAAGAAGTTCTATAATTTTCATGCTTTAAAGTGCCTTAGTTTATGTTTCAAGATCATTTGAAGAAAGTTTTTGTTAATGCAATGTAGGACTACTAAATATATTACTTATACTTTCTTAGAAAATCAAAGTAATGCTTACTATTTTATAAATATTTGCTACTAAATACTATATAAATAATATTACTCTCTAAATATTCTAATATTTGATAAATATCTACATTTTAGAATTCTGTAAGAAATACGAGAAGTACAATTTGTCTAACGGTTATTAAAATGAAGTGAATTTTTTATTTTAAAATATATAAGCTAAAATAAAAAGAATATATAATTTCTGATGTGCTGTTATTAAAAAGGTAAAGGCATTTGCAGACTGATTTCCAGAAAATAATTCTGGAAGTGGTGTAAATTTTAATAATGAGTAGTTCTTTAACATTATTACAAGCAAAAGCCTCCTTGATGTGTATGGATGCTATGCTAGATAAGGAACACCATTTTTATATTTGTATTTTATCACCGTAGAATTTTTTTTATTATCAATAAATCTTGAAATTAAAATGCAACATAACTGCAACTATCCGTCTAAATTATTGGTGTTTGTAACTTGAGCTAATTATGTACTTATTTTTTCCATGGGTTTGTAAAGTATCGAAACGCAAAATTTAAGAAACTGTTAATTTAATTTAAATGATTCACGAAACACTAAAAACATTTAATTAGTAATGTAATTGAATGTAACATTTAAATTAACATTCAAGGCTCGTTAAATAATTGTTTTATAAATAAACGGAAAGCAATTATTATCCACAGACTTGGATTTCTGTGCTTATATTTAGGGATTGCACGAATAAAAAATAATTTTACTGTTTTATTTTTGTGGAAACAGAAATGGGTTGCGTGCTTAAGGATATTAAATATAATTTCGATCCATTTTATTGAAAACATTTGTGTAATATATTTTCAATATGTGCTTTATATTTTATTTTAAAGAAATGTCAATAAAACTGTTTTACCTTTTTTAAGGCTTTCATTTTTAAGTTTTGTTTTAACGAAATGCCAGTAAGATTATTTATCTTTTATTTGCATTATAATAAATACTCCAAGAAAAAATAAAAAAAAGGGGGGGGGGATTTAAATTATCCAAATTTTTCGAATATACTTAGCAATGGTGTTTGCATATACGGATTTTGGAATCATAATGTATATTATAGGTAATCACATTTTATTTAATTACGAAATAAAATGCCATTCGTAATAATCTTTCACAGACTATAATTGTTTCTTTGCAGATTATTAAGATATAGGAATGATTTAAACACTTGATTTTTATTCGGAGGTATTATTTAAATTACACATCATTTTAATTTTTAAAACAGTGCAAATTGTATCACTTTTATCCCATTTGCTTTTCTTTTAGTTCAAATAACTTTTTAATTTTCAACTTTTTTTTTTTTTTTTTTTTCGATTTTATTTTGTACTTTTTGCGATTTGTCTTTCTGAGTGAAACTGACATTTTCTGAGTGAAAATTAGGTATATAAAAGTTGATAAAAAACTCTTACTATAATTTAATTAAAAATTAAATCGGTGTAACTAAGCTTATCTTTTAAAAAAACGTAAGTCATGAAATTATGAAACTATACAATTTTGCAATCAATTAAATTATCATTTGATTAAAAGCTCTAAATTTCCTTGTAAATCAGAACTATTTACCTGTGAAACAGAGCTTTTAATCCAAAACATGTAACTTTATTTGCGTGACATAATTTTTAATTAACAGGTTTTGAATTAGAAATCGCGAATCATTAAGACAGATTTCTGAAGTCCTCTCAAACGTGTTCTGTTTAACAGTTTTGTTCTGAAATCATGTGTACAACACTTTTCTGTCAATGTGATTTGCACGCATATGAAACGATATTTCATTTTCAAATCTTTTTTTTAAGCCCAAGGGGGGTAGCACAGAAGGCTATTAGTCTCGAAACGGCGTTTTGCGTCGAGTCACTGAAAGCGTGGCATCATTTTTCAAATTGTTGCCATCAGATAGTACCGCTCTGTATTATATTTAAAGAAATTGAATAATGAAGAGTCTGCATGAATGTGCGTATGTTTCTCTCATTGTGAAATGAAAAGCAGTATCTAGAGCTGTAGAGACATTAGGTTTTTTTTTTTTTTTTTTTTTTTTTGGAGGCCGGAGTGATGAAAAATTGGCAACCGCCTTCACCGGGAATCGAAATACGGACCTCTGGAATACCGGCTCAGCGTGCAGAACCACTACACCACAAAGGTACGCTAAGAAGGTGGGGGAAATACCTTATAGAGCCATCAAATTTTGAATAACGTAGTCCTCCATTCGAATATTAGCACTTGATAGTCCGAATTTGGAATTTTTTTTTTTTAATCTATTTCATATTTTGCAAAATTTTAAAGAAATTTTGATTAAAAAACCCAGGAATTTCAAAGCGAGCAGTGGAATACTCTAGAAATGTGTCTGCGTGTGTAAATGAAAACACGGTCCTTTGTGGGTAACATAAAATCTGAAAACTTTCAGATCTTTATTTTATTTAATTTCATTTTTTCCAAAATGCACGGAAAGAAATAGAGTAATAACAGTTCATTTATATCCTTGTTTATTTTTTATTTATTTTTCTTAAGTTATCATATTTCATTTATTTTAGCTTACTTTTTATTCATAGATCGGCTTAATCAATCACAAAATAAACTTTTTAAAGCATTTAAAATGATTTGTTTGAAATACACTTTTCTCCTCGAAAATGTTCGATTTTCTGAATGTTACGTTTAGATATAAGTTTTTCTGAATACATTATTATTTTTAAATTTCTTTTTAAATATAAATACTAAAGATTAAACTTCTGTTAAATGTAAGTACTTAATTTTTGTGTGTTAGAAACGGATGATTTGGATAATTGTAACTATCAGTGTGTTCTGACGTTACTTTTGATCTTACTAATTTCTGAAATTATTGGCCGTGACAATTCAAGCAAAACAGGCAGATTTTAGATTTTACATGCTTCCTGATGACGAAGATGGATCGAAGAAGAGCCTCGTATTACTTGCAATCTAATGTAAAATTCTTCAGTTAATCCATTTAAATATTTTCGTTTTTCAGTATTATGTCCTTTTGCATTAACGCCGAAGACCTTACGAGTCATGCAGCAATTTTTGGAATTCTACAATTCCTAGAGAAACTTTTGGTGGCAAATGGCTTACCACTACTTTTAAACTGAAAAAAATTGTCCGCAGTTTAAAGTTGAATCAACACCAACTGAAATTCGCGTGTTTAAAAGATCACATCGATGTTGTCGCAAGACATTATGTAGAAAACCTAGAATTGTTTTGTCTTGATTTCAAATACAGATACGAACTTGCGTCTAAAAACTGCAATATGTGTAATACGTAGAATATTTTAATTTATGTAAAATAATTTTACTACTCCTACTAAAATTTATGTGCGAAAAACAAATATTAAAAAGATAACGATAATTGTTCTATTTCTCTCCCTATATTTTATTTTGGTCCAATAAACTATTTTTTCCATATATCTTTTTTTAAATTAAATTTTCTTGCAATCCTTGAAGCAGAAAATAAATCTACATTATTTGAAAGTTTTTTTTTTTTTTTTTTTTTCTGGAAATTTATTGATCCGAGAAGTTAATTGCCATAAAATTAATTCTGCCTGTAATAGACGAGATGTAAAATTACCAAACACCGGTACTTTGATCCGAATTCAAATTTTGTTGAGCGGGCTAGCTCCATGGGAAATTTGTTGTTTTTCCTACGTATAAGGTGAACGCGAACCAGTTTTCTTTAAAAGTTCCTCCGCGAATCATCTCTTTCCTTAATCAGACATCTCTTGCTTGCATTACGATAATCTCAGTAACCAAGTCTACCAAGCCGATTGACGAAACCCGCAAGTTGAATTTCGTTAATCGGCCCAGTAGAATGCAAGGAGGTTAGAATAGAAGGAGGGAGGGTTCGCAGTTTCCTCCACTGATAGGCGGGATGGTTGTTTTTTTTTTTTTTTTTTTTTTTTTTTTTTTTTTTTTTTTTTTTTTTTTTTTTTTTTTGTTTTTTGTTTTTTTTTTTTTTTTGTTTTTTTACAAATTGCATACGGCAGTGAGTACGTCTGTTCCGTGCATGCATTAATAAAAATATGTAAAATTTATAATGAAATGCTTTGTATTGTTAGTTTTTTGTTTTAAAGTTATAAAGATGATATCCGTAATTTACTACGTACAGAGAAATCAATAAGAAATAGTTCGACATCTAAATGCATGTGCATAACATTAAAGCTTTTAAAAATGATGTTTCTGCATATTTCAAGAATTTGTTTAGGTTTTATTAGGAACATGTTGGGTGTACTTTCTAATTTTTCCTTTAAGAAGTGATATTTCTGATTTATTCACAATATTATAATTTATTAAAGAATCATTTAAAATAATTTTAACCTGAAATTAATAGCAGAGAATTATCTAAAAAAATAGTCACAGGTTGCATTTTTTTTAAATGAAAGTTTTAAATAGATTCTTTTTACAACCAACAACTTTATAACAACAGGAAAATAAATATTAATAAAATAAAGCAGATTTATGTGAATTCAGTGATTTCAGTTTATGCGCATTTCATATTTATGAATCTGAAAGAAATTGCCTTGAATGAAGCTGAATTACAGAAATATACCTATATAAATTTTTGGATACATCTTTCCACATGTTCAGTTGTGTAAATATTTTACTTACTTTTATCGCTATACTGCCCGCAAATTTGTAAGTTTATGCAAAATTTTTAACAACAGAACAGTTAGTTTATCTTGATCAAATGCACAAATTATATTCCTAACAGTTCACAAAACTTAAAAAATGAATTATAATTAATACAT